TCGCTGGTAATCATCTTCTCTGTATACAAAGCACAGAAACAAAAACAGAGTTTCAGTCAGTTCCAGAAGATAAAGTTGTGCAAATGCCTGACACAGACTATCTGGACATAGGGACGAAGCAAGAGGCTCCTTCTTGCATTACAGTTTCACTTTATACAACTTCTCACGTCTATTTTCTTCACAGAATTTTTTTCCAGATCAAACTCCAAACTTTATTTTCATTAACAAGCATGTTAGTGAGAATTAACAAGGTGATAAATGCAGAATAAGGAATCAAGATTTCAAAATCATTCGCATAAGCACAAAAAGAGATTCAAGGCCATTACAGGCCACAAAAGCAAGTCCTGTGTTACCGACAAGATAGACTGCAACAGAAGTGCAAAAGCACTACAGATGTGCGGTCGACAGGCCACGCAGCTTCCCTCAGGGACACAGGAACAGACATACTAGCAATGAGAGAACTGTGCCACAATACATCATGAAGTCACGGTACGGGTATGTGGCGGTTTAACCCAGCAGCCAGCAATGAAGCACCGGACAGCCGCTCGCCCACCCCTCCCCTTCCCCCCCAGCAGCATGGGGAGGAGAAAGGGACAAAACGGCAAACTCCTGGGTTGAGATGAAGACAGTTTAATGAGGCAACAAAGGAAATACTACTACTAATAATGAATATGCAAAACAAACCATATACAATACAGTTTTCTCACCAGCCAATGACCAATTCGCTGCCAGTCCCCAAGCAGCGATCGCAGAACCCGGAACACGTGGATTTTGCAAATTTCGCAGAACCTCCGGGAAAAAAAATCCAACTCCCGGAAAAATTCCAACCCCCAGACAAGAGGGGATCCAGACTCACAGGAAAGAGAAGAGGTTCCTGCCCCCCGGCCAACCCTCATTCATAAACTGAGCAAGACATCTATGGTATGGAATATTTCTGCTGGGTTGGCTGCCTGGCGATGCTCCCTCCCAGCTCCTGCACACCTGCTCATCAGCTGAATTTGGGACTAGAAAAAGTCCTTGATTTCTTAGTAACAACTAAAAACACCAGTGTTATGATCATTCTTCTGGTACTAAATCCAAAACACAGCAGTAGGAAAACGAACTCTATCCCAGCCAAAACCAAGACAAGGTAAAACATAATGTACTTACCAAAAGCTCTTTTAGATTCCGAGAGCCTCTCCTCATCAGTGGAGTCAATAACATAGATCACTCCATGAGATTCAGCATAATACTGAAAGGGTAACACAGATATCAGTCTATCTATCTGCTAGGGCCATGTTAGTCTTCCTGATTTTTTTTTTTAGTTTAGTAAAATTTTGACACACGTGGAAAAGATCGAGCAGTTGGAGCTGGCTGTTTCCATAGCGTACATCTGGAGAGAAGGATGGTGGCACACATTGTCTGTTCTGTTTGTAGGCCTACTGAATACAACAGGTGAAAAAGCTTCCCTGTCCCCCCAAAACGCTTATCTCTACTGGCACAACCCTCAGATATGGGTTGGCCATCGCTGTTTCTAAACAATAATGCAAATACTTATTTCAGCAACGGGCACAAACTGAAGCCGAGGAAGCTCCAGCTGAACCCGAGGAAGAACTTCTTCCCTCTGAGGGTGACGGAGCCCTGGCCCAGGCTGCCCAGGGAGGCTGTGGAGTCTCCTTCTCTGGAGATATTTCAGGCCCGCCTGGACGCGGTGCTGTGCAGCCTGCTCTGGGTGACCCTGCTTGGGCAGGGGGTTGGGCTGGGTGACCCACAGAGGGCCCTGCCAACCCCGACCATTCTGTGATACTAAGCATTATCTTTGCTAAACTTGCACAGATATAGTTGAATCTCTGGAAAAGTGCTGATGCTAAATACTAGGGTTACCAATAAGGCTGTTTGTGATTACTAAAGGATCATACTGCTTCAATTCTAAAAGAGACAAAAACATTTCTAAGACAAAAAAAATACATCTCCAACCTTGTCCCAAAGAGACTGCAGTTCCTCCTGTCCGCCAAGGTCCCAGAACATTAGCCGAGTTTTGCCAACATCGATAGTACCAACTAGAGGGAAAAAAGAAAAGACAATGCAATGAAAACTGAAGGTGTTCTCTAAAGCGTCTCTAATGCCTGCACACCCCCCGAAGAAAGCTGGAGTAGAAGAGTGTTCTAGAGGAACAAATCACATACGGAGGCTCCTTTCAACAACAGAGCAACACCTTCGCACCAAGGGACCACTAGTATCAGATACAGCCGTATCTGTGCAAATAATATCAGAATCAGGCCAGTGAGTGAACTCCAATGAAATTTAATTTAACCTCTGAGCACAGCACTGAAAGGGGACACTTGTTTTTTTAAGATTTCAGGGGTTTTTCCTCATAAGCTAAGAAAGCCTATTTGATTCTCTTACAAAAAGACACGGAGAGTTAGCTGGGCAATACGATCTCTCCTTCCAGGAACTATTTTGTCCTTGTCAATTCTTAAATATTTCAAACAAGAACCAACTGTTGTCCAGCTGTGCAGGAAAGCTGAAAAAATTCCAAACAGATTTACTTACTGTTTAAGCCTACAGTGGTTGTGATTTTGGACAAACTCATCCCTTTGTAGTTCTTGTTAAATCGAGTTTTAGTTTGTTCAAGGAAAGTCTGAAAAGGAACAAAAAAAGTATTTACTCTGAAGTATTTTAGTGGCTGGGGTATTCCTAACTCAAACCTGCCTTCTCGTTTCTGCAGAATCCTGCTCCAACAGATACTGCCCTACCTAACCTTGGACCAAACCACTCTTCTTGCTCCCTATTTTAGCAAGGAAAGCAGGGATCACAGGTGATTACGGGATTATCAAAGCCTCAGCTACATCCCTGAAAGCTTATGCTAAATTCAAGGAAGAGAGAAAAGTTGATTCTTTGGTGTGACATCACTAAAATAGCTCACAATACAGCCAAAGAATGACTGCCCCATCTGTTGGAAGTTTTATCTCTGCAGGATGTTTAGCATTGTGTGTGCCCTCCACGCAATTGGTAATAAACAGCACTTACGGTTTTACCAGCATTGTCCAAACCAAGGATCAAGATGCAGTACTCATCCCTCTGGAACATGTATTTATAGAGTCCGGACAGCAGAGTATACATCCTGCTCCTGCAACAAGTAACAGGAAATCATTAACAAACAGATCATTTCCAAAAGTCTCTTATTCCGCAACGCAAGTTTTTCCCAACACCAGATAAATAAATGACATTATTCTTTTATCTTTTATCCCAGGACAAATCACAGATCCAAGAGAGATCATGCAAATACCTCAAACTCACTTTTTCACATGCATACTGGTGAGGGATTACCTTCCAAAGAGCTTAACCTCTCTTTCTGCATGCAGCACCCAGCATCCACTGCAAGCTCAACCTTCATTTGAAAACTATCCTGTCTGCTCTGGGTCTTGAAGGAGAGCTAAAGAAGAGCTCGAATGTATTTTGCAGTACAGGTAAGATCCACAGAAAAGAAAGTCAACTTCATTCAAATACACCAAATGGGTATTTTGAGCAACAATGTACAAGCCAGTCTCTCCTTCCTTGTTCCTGACACCGTATCTTTAATGGTCCAACTGAGTGAAGTGTACCTTAAAGGCGCATATAACCCCCTACTTCTCTTAATTTAAGCCTCATCCATCAACAACCTTCTGTTGTATCTTCTGTGCATCCACCACACCAGTCTTTTGTCATCTTACAATGCCTCAAAGACAAGCCAGCTAAGTTAACAAGCCAAAAGCACAAGACTAAGAATCAGAGAAAGCGACACCGACACCTGCAGAAGGCCACACGTTCTTTGATGTTGGGTTTGCACGAAGAAGGCAGAGAAGATTTGCCAAGACGCAGGAAATACTGGTACCAAGCGCTACGGCTGACTCACAGAACATTGCAACAGCTCCTCTGTTTAAACACAAAGGGAACCTCAAGGCAAAGACTTTGAGAGGCAACTGCCTCTGAGCAAGCGTGCAGATAAATACTCACTCTGAAGTCAAACAACAACGCCTAAAGGGAGGGAAAAAAAAGCGTTCCAGACCAGAAGCCGGGGATTTCTGAGGCTGGAGCACGGGCAGCGAGAGGGCAGGGCCGCGCAGGGAAGGCATCGAGGCCGCAGGCAGGGTCGAACCCCTCGCCCCGCTCCCCTTTGGGGCCGGCAAGCGGTCCCAGCCGTGCCAAGCACCC